AAAAAAAAAAAAAAAAGACTTTGTTGTTCACTCATGAAAATGTGCTCCATTGAAGGATTTTTGAGCAGAGAAGTAACATATTACTTACATTTTGAAATGATTACCTTTGTCAGGGTGGTAAATTGACCAAAAGCAAATAAGGGAGGAATTAGGAAAATCAGTTAGGAGGCTGTTGCATGAATCTGTTAATCCAGGTGAGAAGTGAGGGTGGCTTGGAGTTGGGTCTCTTGGGGTGATGAGAATGGTTTAGATTGCATTTTGAAGACAGAGAGACAACAGTATTTTCTGACAGATTGGGTGTGACATGTAAGAGAAAGACAGGAGTCAAGGATGAGAAAAATTTGTTCTAATATCTTTCAACTGTCAATCAATGTCCACATTAGCAGATTATGCCCATTTTGCAATAGGTTTCTACTTTTTTGTTGGTTACTTAGTTCTTCTCCATTAGAGACTGTAGTGCATGCTTTGAACAATTGAAATGAATAATTCATTCTCAGAGTGTAAGAAACTCCATTTCAATATGCTAAGTAAAAATTCAGCCATTGGTGAATTTCTCTATTTGACTATAAACAGGAGAGGAAGACATAGGCACAGTCTTCTGGCTTTATGTTTTTAGATGTCATCCTTTACTTAATGTACAATATTATAATGTTGGCCTTTTGGAAAGAATTCATTTATTCAAAAACCATTTGGTGAGCTTCCACTATATAGCAAACTTTCTGCTAGTGCCAGCGACCCAGACAGCACTGAGGCAAATACCTGCTCTCAAGCATCCTGCCATCTAGTGGGAGATGCAGAAATGTAATTGAGTTGGAGAATAAAAATGAGATTAGTGATAGAACAGTGGTGGCTAGAAAGTTCCAAGAGAGCATAGAAGATGGCACAACTTAATTGTATCTAGAGAATTCAGGAAAACTTGTAGAAAGAGGATGAGTTTACAAATAATTATGTAGGGAGCTAGGATGGGCATTCCAGAAAACGGAGGCAATATATTGGGAGTAGAAGAGAGGATGGCCCATTTGGTTGACTGCACAGACATTTATTAAGGCTAGAGGTTTTGGAGCATGTGCATGAGTGGTGGAAAATGAGTCTTAAAAGAGGCAGTGTTATATCTTGAACACCTTTATATATGACAATGAATGAATCCTGTAGGCAAAGGGAATTAGCAAAGAGGTTCTCAGCAGGA